AAGCAATCAGACTTGCGGTTTTTAACAAGAAGTCAAAAATATCACTTTTTACCAAAAATGACAAATATATTCACCAAAATTAGAGAATTGAAGATATCATCACGAAATAAACAAATCTGAGAGAGGTCCACATGTAGTACCTATATATGTAGTATCAAAGCAATTGGACTTGCGGTTTTTAACAAGAAGTCGAAAATATCACTTTTCACCAAAAAATGACAAAAATATTCACCAAAAATAGAGAATTAAAGATATCATTACAAAATGAACAAATCTGAGAGAGGTCCACATGTAGTACCTATATATGTAATATCAAAGCAATTGCACTTGCGGTTTTTAACAAGAAGTCGAAAATATCAGTTTTTACCAAAAATGACAAAAATATTCACCAAAATTAGAGAATTGAAGATATCATCACGAAATGAACAAATCTGAGAGAGGTCCACATGTAGTACCTATATATGTAATATCAAAGCAATTGCACTTGCGGTTTTTAACAAGAAGTCGAAAATATCAGTTTTTACCAAAAATGACAAAAATATTCACCAAAATTAGAGAATTAAAGATATCAACATGAAATGAACAAACCTAAGAGAGGTCTACCCAAGGTACATATACACCAAGTATCAAAGCATTTAGGCTTGTAGTTTTCAAGAAGAAGTCGAAAAAGTAAAACATTGACACGGACGACGACGACGACGGACAATCACTCATATGATAAGCTCCGCTCGACAAAGTCGACAGCGGAGCTAAAAAAAAAATTCAGCGAAGCAAATAATAAACAAAATTTGAGGCTTGATATTATTTAAGCCCCTCCACAGAAGCATCCCTCTCTTTTATTCAGTGCTTCTGTATGCCAGTAACCCTCCCCCAACTCAGTATATGTATACCATATTTGCTCTATTAGAAGCCCATCTTTAATATAGAAGTGCATATAAACCACAGATTGAATTTTGTTGTATACTGAATCATCGAAATATTAAAATTTAGTCAAGTCTAATATTAGCCTGAGGCTTGCCTTATTTTTTAATGAGCATTTTCAGTAATCCCCCAGATGCTTGTAGATTAGCATCTAGTGAGGATCCCGTAGTTTCTACCATAATTTCCCCAATAATGGGTGCTGAAGCCAGGTGAAACAGAAATAGTTGTAATTACGAACATATGAGTAATATAACCACTGGCATGTTGAAATTATTCCATCAAACATGTTCTATTAAAATGAAACAAACAAAGTCTTGCCCGTAGCTCGGACGAACCCCCAACGCGCACTCGAAGGTCCGTTTTTTTAATGCACAATATTTGTTTAAAAGGCGGAACAATTTTTATCACAAGTGATGCTCAAAAAAGTGATGCCTGGCTGTTGTTATGGTAACGGCACCCGGAAGTCTCACTTGGCGACCTGTGCATGACGCCGACCAAGCGCCGATACAGTCCCCTAATGTCATATAAAGCCTGCCGCTGGACATGATGTGGTTTCACTCATTTCTAAGAGGGAAAAAATTTCAAAAACGAGCGTAAAGCTTCCAGTTTTTGTGTTGGTGGTCGGATACAAATTGAATGTGGTATCAAAGGCAGTAAAAGGGTTCTCTCGCATTTAATTTTTACGTGAGAACATACTTTCTCACACACATGAGATTGGGCTGCAACATCCTATATTGAGCATTTATCTTTTTACAGAACAACACACTGAAAACCGACCATTTTCATGCACATGAGAACAGACTGGAAACTCCCAAACTCTCGCACGTGAGATTAAAATGAAACAGATTTCCGGCCCAACTAACGTATGTGAGAAAGACGCAAGAATGGTCCAAATGTTGACATATAAATAAGTCAGTCCGTGCCTCTCAAGGCTATTGGGTTAGAACATGCTTAATATCAAAGACTAATTAGAATCTGGAGGCCAATTTCATAGCGGATATACAGTATTCAACCTTTCGTTGTCATCCAATAAAATATTGTCTGAAGCAGTTATGTGAGTGTCTCAGATTTTTCCTTTGAAATCCTCTCAAAAACGCAGGAAATGCCATTTCAGAAAGTTCAATTTTCAAAATTTTGCTTCCCTAGGAAGCAAGCGCGCAAGCAAGGCACTTGGTCCCTCAGAAAGAAGTTATGGCTACGGGCATGAAAGTATCAATATTCATATCAGCTTACCATTTACAAACTGTTACATTTGAACTATCAATATTGCTATTTTGTTTGTAAAACAGTGAACTATATTGCAATACTGCTGGTTGGGTTGCTTTTTTGTTCACAATAACTTAAGTGACTAAATACCGACGAACGTGTACAGTACATGTGACTATAGGAATCACAATAAGGTCTAGCACGCCTGAACCACTACCATCAACCGTGTTATTCGCTTTGTGTCAGAGGTACATTACTTGGGGTTTGCAACGCACATACCGGTAGTACTGTATGGTGACATCATGCCAAGATCCCATTCAAGTCACATCTCGTAGATAGCGAGACTGATGCTACGACCTTCTGACATGACATAGGCGGTTTGTAATAAAACAATAAAACATGTATTACCACATTCATAGTGAAAAAATGTAATACATCGAAAATGTACAGAAAATATAGTTATCGTAATCCGTCATTTCGTGAGCAGCTATTTTGATCCACCTGGACATCCCAGTATCCTAGTTACCTCGGGCATGCGCATTCGCATTTTGCTGAGTTGGAACGCGGCACGGATCTAGAAGCCGTACCTACACACGAATTGGTGACGTCACAAAATACATGACCTTCAATCGGGGTCGTTTCCTCGGTATATACGAATTGGTATATACAAATTACAATAAAGATACTTAAGACATTACACATAAGGTAAAACAAATCATGTGACAATATAATGATAATAACGGTAATAAATCCTAGCTTAACAGTTGAACAGAACGATCATATAGTCAGTCGGGTGACGCCGAGGGTCATGCACTTGTTGCAAAATGGCCGTGTGGTTGAAACTGGGTCATGGCGTGACGGGCGAGGAAGACATCATTAAACACTCTCAAAATCACAATAAAACGGAGAAGTGGTTGCATATTACGGCGTAGCCAACATGGGAAATAAAAAAACGCTCAATACAAACGACATGGGTTCGAATCACACGAGATACACACTCACCAGAACCG